CATACAGGAGCTTTTCAGTTTCTAGAAGTCTCATTTATTAATTGTTGCTTTCAGTGACTGTGCTACTGATGTTATATTTAGAAAGTAGTCTCCTGTGTTTCTGCGTTCAAAGCTACTTCCCACTTTCCCTCCTATCAGGTTCAGTGTAACTAGAATTATCTTGAAGTCTTTGCACCACTTGGACTTGATTTTATGTATCTATTAATTTATTTAATGTATATGAGCGCTCTATCTGCATGTGGACCTTTAAGGAGGAAGAGGGCCTCAGATCCCTTTGTAGATAGGTATGAGCCATCATATGCTTTCTGGGAATCGAACTGAGGACCTTGGTAAGAGCAGCCAGTGGTCTTAATTGCTAAGCCATCTTTTCTGACCCTGGACTTGAGTTTTGTGCATGGCGATAGATATGGATCTATTTGCATTCTTCTACCTGCCGACATCCAGCTAGTTCAGCACCATTTGTTGAAATGCTTTCTTCTTTTTCCCATCATACAATTTTATCAAACTTAAGGTGTTCATAGGTGTATGGATTACTATTGTTAAAGGTGCATGTGTATGGAAGTCTTAAGGTGAAGAGTTCAGTATGCAAAGTGTCCTTGGTCTTGTAGATATAGTTTTGTTCAGCAGAGAGTATGTTAGTGTGTTTTCTGGAGGTGTAGCAATTGCCTGGGACAATCAGCTTACAAAGAGAAAAGAATGACTTTTTGGCTTACAGTTTTGGAGCCTATGACTGTTGGCCCATTTCCTTTCAACCTAAAGCAAGCAGCTCATCATGACTGGAGCACATGATGATGAAGCATTTTACCTAATGGGTTTGACACAAAAGGAGGAGAAAAAGGAAGAGTAGGGTCTGGTGTCTCACTTTTCCCTTCAAAGATATCAGAAGGTAGCCTTACTAGGACCCATCTTTTAAAGCCGTTCACTTGCCTCCACACCTTGCTCCCTACAAAATAGTTCCAAACTTGGTTTTTAACATATGACATTCTAGACCCAATCTATTATCGGGATTATGAATGCCTATAATTCATTTACATCATACTTAAACTTATAGCACGACTTTTTTTCCCCTTTAAAAAATTTTTCAATAGGATTTTCTTTTTTGCTTATTTGTCTTTTTATTTTTCAGATTTCTGTTTTTAGACATTCCACCATCCAGTTACTGTAATGAGGTTCTGTCTTCTGGGTCACATGTCACGTGTTTATTAAACTTGATAGATTCCTGGCAGCCAATTCGTTTCTGAGGTCCCTTCATATGTTATGCTGGTTAAGTCATGCTGGAATCATGTGTTATTTATTTAATGTATATGTGTGCTCTATCTGCATGTGGACCTTTAAAAAGAAAGAGAGAAAACTATCTTGGGGAAAACAATAAATTTGAGGTTTGTTCTTTTTTCATTGATTTATAGCAGGCAGACTTTAATAATAAATGTAATAATTGATACAAACCCAAATATTTTATCACTTGGTACATTTTACTTCTGTTTATGTACCTTTTTTCTTCATTTATAGAATTCACATTTTCTACTTCTTTCTCAGTGATAAACAATTGTGTAAATCTGCAGCATTAGTTACCACGATGAGTTCACTGTATTCCGAAGATAGTGCTCAGCTTCTCAGCTCCTGAGGCTCTAGCACCTCGGGTTATAGAGTATGTCTCTACAGACGCCCAGAATTGCAAACCAAGGAACAGGCTGAGTGGTCATCGGAACCACTTACAATAGACTTCCCTTTCAGGAAGGACAAAGTAAGTAGTTCAGTGAATCTTCTTCTGGGCATTAAAACATTGTCACTATGTAAGTCTTAGATTTGTGAGTTTTAATGATTTATGAAATACAACTTTTATTTTTAAGAAGTTTAGCAGTTGAAGAATTTTCAGTTGCTTTAAGATTCAGTCACCTGTGTACAATGTATGGTATGTCTCTTCTGTAGGCATTTCTTGACATGTATAATCCAGAGATGATTTTTCATTTTTTTTTCAATTAATGAAGGATTCCGTAGAGAACTTCTAGCTTCAGTGTCCTTATTGTGGAATAAACCATGTCCATTGGTCTGGCTGCAGTTTTTATTTTTTTGGCATGCTTGCTAATGTAGCCCTTTCTTCCCAAATATTATGTTGATAGTCACAGTGCTTTATGGCCTGTAGCACTGCCGAAACATGATTGAGTCTTATAAGAAGATGCAGTTTTGAAATATTTTTACCACCTGTAGTTCTTAGAGTGCAACAGACATAGTTATAAAGTAGATGATGCCCTCTTAAAACATGCTTATTTTAGCACTGACGTTTTCCCTATTTGGCTTTAAATTTTATTTTCAAAGTTTCATGATATATATATATATATAATAGGTTATTATAGACTTAAGTATAAAATACCCCTAATATACTCCTAATAAGTACAGTTTTTAAAATAAACCATCCTATTTTATGAGTGTTCTTTGACATGATTTCTCCTACCTGGTCCTGGCCTCCCTTGGCTGTATGATCTTTGACTTCCATGGAATAGAGGATGTGAATGCGCATGTCCAAGTTTGCTTCTCTGTCGCTGACCACAGTTGCCATCAGTCCATCTGGAAGGGCCAGAGCAGGATCTCGTCAGGAATGCTACTTACTGGCTTGCTCCCTCTGAGTTGTTAAGCTACCTTCTTATTCTACTCAGGACCTCCTGTCCAATAATAGGACCCTCCCACATCAATCATTAAGAAAATAACCCTACAGACATGCCCACGGGCTATCAAAAGGAGGCAATTCCTGCACGGAGTCTCCCTTCCCAGGAGACTCTTTTGTGTCAAGTTGATAAAACTAACTAGTATAGCGTGGAGAGAATTTATACTTGTCTGAGATGCTACAGGATAGCCTAGAACAAGGCTTGCTGTTGTTAAAAAAAATTTTGTGGGGCAGGCAAATGTTTTTAGGTGGTGTGTTTTTTAACCTTTATTAGAGAACAGCATGTTTCTCTAAAATAATAGGTATAATTATTTTATACCTATTATCTATATACATATATATATATAAAACTTTATATATTTTTAACTTGTTGATTATCTATAAAATTTATCCTGTAAGCTTTTGATTACCCACTACATTTGTTAGGGAAAAAATAGAACAGTGTTAATGTTGTGAGATAAATATTATTGTGTGTTAATAAAAATTCTTAATAGTTTTTAAGGACATATTCAGTGAAAGCAATAACTGTGTAATCTGGCCTTTAAGTGTAATATGTCAAGCAAGGTGCAATGGCACATGACTGTAATCCCAGCCCTTGGAGGTGGGGGCTGAAGGGTTAGGAGTTCATCATCATCATTGCTTACAGAGAGTCTGAGGACAGTCTAGGTTAGACACAACCTTATGTCAAACAATACAAAATTACAAGTAAGAAAGAAAGAAAGAAAGAAAGAAAGAAAGAAAGAAGGAAGGAAGGAAGGAAGGAAGGAAGGAAGGAAGGAAAAGAAAAGAAAAGTAGGTTACAGAATGACTTCTGGGAAAGGTCTTAGGACGCTTGCTAGCAAATGAAGGAAATTTGAGATTAAGAGGAAGTACTTAGCTATTTATCATAATGCTGTGTATAACATTCTGTGACTGTAACCAAACACTGCTCAACATTTCACTTTTGGGGGTTTACATTTCCTTAGAAAGATGAAAATGAGTCGTCATAGAGTACTATACTTCGTGCATACCTTGCCCATGTGCAAGTCTGGCTGTGTCTCTGAGTATCTAGGAGTCTCATACTTTTTATCTTGAAGGGCTCTGTGGAATCTGCACACAGTTCTAACCACTTTCATTCTTGTCAGAATGTTGAACTTAACTTACTTTTGTCTTTATTTTCTTCTTTGTATTTCTCTCTTAATATAGGATTTTATTAAAAATAAAATTAAAAAAAAGAAAACAGATTTTCTTTCTACTTCTGCATAGAGGAATCATACATAAGACACTGAAGGGGTGCCAGTGCTTAGCCTTCAGGGTTGTCTATTTGAAAGCCATCTTACTGAATTATTATCTTCGTCACCAGCCCTGCAGTATTTTCTTGTTGAGGAGAGAAAGGCAGACTAAATGAGGCTTCAAAGTTCAAAGGTTGCTGTGCCCTTACACAGATTACAGTTTGATATGTAATACAACCCCATTGTACAGCAGACGTGTTTATGCTGTATGACTTGTTTACAAAAATCAAGTTTGTTTCTGACCAGTTGAAACAAGTTCCTCTTGGTCTTTCACAGCTGGTGGGCAGCAGCCTGCCTGGTCTCTGCCTCTTCAAGAATGGCCGTGCTCTAGACTGTTGAGTTTGTGTGCCTTCCACATCTTAGACTTGGAAAAGTGGAGGAAAATAACATGAAGGAATCTGGGCCATAGGCAGCCCTCGACCTTCTGTTTACCGTGATGTTCAGTTCTTCTCATATTTCTGGGTAGCTGGGATGGTGACCAGGTCCTATTTTCTTTAAGTATAATTTTTAATTAGGACAGTAAAGGAGTTGAGGTGGATTATTTTGGTTTCAAAATTATTAACCTCTTCCTGTAATTGAAGGGAAAAAACGATTTTATGAAAAACTTGTTTGATCAGTTCAATGTGCTGGTTAGGGGGGTGGCCTATGAACTAGACAATAAGATAGCCTTACAAAAAATGAACCTCTTTTTTCTTATAAAAGGCATCATTTATATTTCTATTCTTCGTGGGAAAGTTGGCTTAAATGTGATTTCACCTAATTATCAGTTATGTGAACAGGCAATTATAAGAACGAAAGTTCTCAACAACTTACTTACAAGGGTTTGATCCTCCGGACTGGAAAAAAACACAGTGTTTTTAAATTCTTTATCCTTTTAGGAAAATGCTTAACAGTTTGGAAAAAATGTTTAGGTAACATGCGTTAAAGAGCTTGCCTGAATTTAAATCTTTTAGAGAAACTATACCTGTCCTGAAGAAGAAAGGGTTTGCATGTCTTATGTTTGTTGATTGTGATTTCTCAACTTACCATGTTAATGATTTTCTTAATGTTCCATAATTACTTTTCAGTGTGTTTTGGGATCTCTACTGTGCAGCTCCAGAGAGACGGGAAACGTGTGAGCACTCAAGCGAAGCAAAAGCCTTCCATGACTATGTAAGAGAACATACACTTGAAAACATCCTAACCAATGCTCTTAAAACATACTGTGCCATAACTTTAGAGAAAGATGTTTGGTGTGTGTTAGTCTAGAGATTAGGAACAACTAACTGTGAAACGTTCTTAAGTATGTATGACTTGTAAAATCTCAGGATTGTGCACTTAAGTATATATGATTTTGTAATTTAAGTCTGTCTGCGTTAACTTTTTGGAGGTGGGTCGGGGGGAGTTGCTGGAAATCAATCCCAGGGTCTCACACATGCTAGGCAAATTCTCTACTATTGAAATTTCACATGTATATTAATGAAACAGTAGTTCTTCATTTTCAAAAGAAACTCATCTTAAGCTTTGTGTAAATGATAACCTCTTTTGCACAGAAGATACAAAGTACTGAAATAATACTTTTCACCAAATATACAGAATTCAGTTCCTCTATTGAAATTCATTTGAATTAAAGGAAATATTAGAGAAGAGACCTAAAAATTCTAGACAAAATAAAAACCTGATTTGTTAAAAAGACTCTTAAAGAGAGGCAGCAGACCCCCTTGGCTTAAGTATGCCTTAGAAATACAAATCTAACTTCAAAAACCAGATTATATCATATAACATTTCTTCAGGGAAAAGTTGCATATTTGTTGAAATAGGAGCGGCGGGGCTGCATCCCCAGCACCCTGGCCGCCTGCTAGCTCATGCCCGAAATAACAACACACAAACTGTATTCATTTAAACACTGCTTGCCCATTATATCTAGCCTCTTCTCGGCTAACTCTCGCACCTGGACTAGCCCATGCTTTCATTGGTTAATAATAAAGAAACTGCCTCGGCCCTCATAGGACAGAAAATTAGGTAGGTGGAGTAAACAGAAGAGAATGCTGGGTAAAAGAAGCTGAGTCAGGAGTCGCCATGATTCTCCCACTCCAGACAGATGCAGGTTAAGATCCTCCCTGTTAAGCCACCTCATGGGCTACACAGAATATTAGAAATGGGTTAGAACAATATGTAAGAGCTAACCAATAAGAGGCTGGAACTAATGGGTCAGGCAGTGTTTGAATGAATACAGTTTGTGTGTTGTTATTTCGGGCATGAGCTAGCAGGCGGCCGGGGTGCTGGGGACGCAGCCCCGCCGCTCCTATTTCAACACATATTAGATGGTCCTGTAAGGGTCCTCGTGGAGCTGACCAAGAAGAAATAGAATTGAATGTGGGATGGAGGAGATTCTGCCTTCCTATTCTGACACCATCTCCAGTCTGGAGCCTAACAAAGTACCTGATGGCACATCTTTAACCCAACTAGAAGGATACATGTCTTGATGGCAGAGGGAGGCATCATTTTGTGCCAAACTCTTTAAAAGCCAGAACTGGTCTCAAAAGAGAAACATTTCTTGGTTTTCTAAAAGGAAAAAAAAAAAAAAAGGTTTAAATCCAAGAGCATTGTTGGAAAATCAAAGCCTCTAAATAGTGCTAGGGGAGTATGCAGACTTGAGAAGGCAAATTCTTGGGTACATGGCAGTGGGGCCTGTACCCTCCCTGAGAGCTTGATTGTACTGTACTCATGAGCCCCATGTGGACAAAACCAATCATTCCTGGGGATGAAGAGCAGGAAGGATTGCTACAGCACACAGAGGGAAAGGAGCAACAGGCAGTGACCACGGCTCAGAGCACAGAGTTTTTCCGGACAGGGCTCATTTGCCTTTTTACACTGGAGTAATGACAGAGTGAAACTGTTCCAGCCACGAGGGTTCCAGGGAATCCAGATGGCCTGCATTCTCCATCTCTCCTGTCCCTTACACCAAGAGAGGCACAAGCAAGACTCCTGCCACCATTTAGTTGTAGACCTCCCTACTCGTATGAACACCCAGGTGGCGCTAGAAACAGCTAGTGCTGTGATTCAGGAAGGTTTAAGACCTCACAGTCTACAGCTTAGGGAAATAAATGGGTGCAGAGAGATGACGCAGCCACCAAGAGGGGCTGGCTGGTCTCCCAGAGGCCTGAGTGTGCTCCCTCACAGCTACTAAGTTCAGCTCCAGGGCATATGACACACTCTTCTGGCTTTCACAGACATCTGTGTACACACACACACACACACACACACACACACACACACACACCTTTAAAACAAGAAACCAGTTCCACAGTGTGGAAAGCTCTGCCCTAATGCTCCCCATGGAGACTGTTTGGGGAGTACTGAACTCCAAGACGAGTTTAGAAACAGTCGCAGATCCAGCAAGCCCATTCCACTGTCACAGCTCTCCTCATCGGTGCAGTCACATGGACTCCTGAAATTCATTTATTTTCTGTAATTCAGTAATGGGAACTTTGACAAGGATTTGCTGACTCTTGAATAGTGCAGTTTCTGAAGTAGACCAACATAGTTTATGCTCATGTGTACACAGGGCTTTGAGAGGCTTGAGAAAGGAGAGTGGGAGAGGGCACGCGGAAAGATGATGCTAACAGTCTAATATGTCCTATTTCTCAGAGTCCATTATGCAATCATTTCCATAGGATAATTAATATTTCTTGCGGATTTTTATGGTAGTTCCCAAGGAAGCATTCTGAATTACATTTTCTTTAATGGCTGAAGTCTTTAGAATGAATGAGTTTGTTTATTGACTTTAGACTGAACTTACTTGTATAGACTTGTATGTACTTGTATATATATACATATATGTATATATATATATATAAATTTTCAGATGATTAAAATCTGCCTCCTTTTTATTAGCTTTTATCTACATGATTCAAGTAAAATGACTATTTTAAAAAAATGAATGATAGAATGAAATGATATAAACTTGAAAAAGCAAATAATATAATCCTTTAACTAAAATGTTAATTATATTTTCATATTTGGATCACACATCACTTTGGGTTTTATTTACGTAATTTGTATAATTTACAGATGTATAGTGAATATTTTATATTCAGTAGGGTTCTTTAAAACAATGTTCACTCTTTGATAAGTTTTTATTTCTCTTAAATAGGACAGTAAAATTTTTGACAAAATGAAATATAAACTATAAGATAGAGAAAGTCATTTCATTAGGTGAGAAACCTGATACCTGTGGAGGCTAAGGTCGTCAGTCAGTATATAAATGCAGTGTGCCATGTCTAGGAAAGCTCAAGTTTTCCAAGTTCTCATAGAGTGTATTTCTAAGTATACCTGGTAAAATTTCTGCCTGCAATGTGGAATCATTTTTAAGAATACTAAACGCACAGAAAGTAGTTTATGATAGTTATCCAGCAGTGTGATTCAGAGGAAGGAACTGAAGAAAGGACTTTGGACAATACTACAAGGAAGCTGTCCTCATGGTCTCGTGAAAGGTGAAAAACCCTGAATCAGGATGGTAACAAAGAAGTTGAAATTAAAGAGTAAAATTATAAAACAGATCTCTCTCTCTCTCTCTCTCTCTCTCTCTCTCTCTCTCTCTCTCTTTCTCTCTTTCTCTCTTTCACACACACATACACACACACACACAAAAACCTTATAGTTAGGGACTGGAACTTGGGACAATTGAACTCCATGTTAATGTAATGCCTTGGGCTCCTTGATATTAATAAAGTTGTTTAAGTAAGACTTAAGGATTGAACCATATCAGTGCTGGAGTGAATATAGGCCACAGTTTCACTTTAGAAAGTTTAGTTTCATGTTTTATAGGGAGCAGGATTGATTCAAATATTGTAGGAAATGGAATAGATCTCAGTGACCTTTGACTTGTTTCTTCAAGTTTTAAACTTGGAATAATAGGTAGAGAAATCTTTCAGTGTATTAGTTCTCTTTATCCTTGCAACTGTTTTAGGAAGCTGTGAATTAAATAAAGAACAGTGTAAAAAATGTAAATTATGAACAGATTCGTAGCCAAAGCATAATATTAACTCTTAGAGTATATTCCTTAGGGACATGAGCATACTTAAAAAACTAAAAATATATATCATGTTCAGTTTGTTGTTTTCTTATTTAACTCATGCTCAATAAATGGTTGAAGGCCCCTTTCTTCTTGCTTTCTGAACTGGTTAGAGTGGGTTTGTTGTTGTTGTTTGTTCTCAGTTTGGCATAATCCAGGGTCATCTTAGAAGAGGGACTTCAGGTTGACATGTAGGCATGTAGTGGACATTTGATTAGTTACTGACTGATGGGAGCAGGTGGCCCATTGTGGCAGATGGCACCCTCCACAGGTGTTCCTGAGTGCTGGAAGAAAGCAAGTAGAGTAACTTCTTTCCTCCAGGGCCTTTTTTCCTGTCTCTGGGTTCCTGCTTTGATTTCCTGCCCCGAGTTCTTAAATGGACTGTGACATGGGATATGGAAGCCATATAAACCCTTTCCTCTCCAAGTTGCTTTTGGTCATGGTCTTTATGACAGCTAGAGAGAGCAAACCAGAGTACTTTCCTTTCATTACTGCTTCCCCTGCTTTTGACCATCTTAGCCCTCTCCTCTTCATCAGTACTTTAGGGAAGGTAAAGTATTTGGAGCTGTCTATGTAATAGACACATATGTGTCAAAGAAGTAGAGCAAGTTTTGGATGTCAGAGATGATTTATGTCCTCTGTGCATTAACAGATAACTGAGTTAATGTTTGTGTTGGAAATTGTGGGGTTATTTTCCATGTGTAAATATCATCGTTACAGTCACATTTACCAAGCATGCTCTCTTTCTTGCTCCAGTATAGAATAATCATTTCAGCTGAAACTTGTAAGTTATAGATGTGGCTGTTTCCATCCCAGTCCACTTACCTGTATACCATGACTTATAATCTCAGGCCTTTCTATTCCATTTACTTTTGCTGAATTTTCTTCCCATGGGGCTGGCAAGATGGCTCAGTGAGTAAAGATGATTATAGTACAAGCCTGGCAACCCAGGTTCAATCCCTGGGACCCATGTAACAGTGAAAGGAGAGAATCAATCCTAGAAAACTGTCCTCCAGCCCCCACTTGCTCTATGGCATGAGTGTCCCCATCATGCACGTAGTACAAACTCTCTCACAGTCTGACTCTCTAATGATGG